TGCTTACTATTTCTTTGTAGGTGCTCCAACGAATGATGGAGCAAGAATTTTTACAATAAGCAATACAGATGTCTTATGTAAAAGAATTTTTTAAAGTAATAATATTGATACTGAAAATAATTCAGATTTGACATTCAAAAGAAACACGACTACTTTTATGAAGTTTAACATTGTTGATAGCATCTCAAGGGTTGAAATACCAATGAGATTAGCATTATCAGGTGGTTTACATGAAAGTATTTTTTATGAAGCCGATGAAGTCGTGCAAAATGCTTTAAGAATTTGGAACAAAGATGAAACATTAGCAAACTCAATGGTTTCAATTGGTGTAGGTGCTCGACCTAATGTTATGTTTTTTAGAAGTAATTTTGCTCAATGTAATGAAGAATTGAGAGTTGATACAAAAAATACTACTGTGGATGGTGATTTAGTGTTTCAAAGAAACGGGGTTGAACATATGAGATTTGTTCAATCATCAGGTAGAGTGTCAATACAGAGAGTATTACAATTATCAGGAGGTGAGGGTCAAATGGTGATGTATGAAGATAGTGATGCTTCATTGAATGTGGTAAGAACTTGGAATCAAGAAACAACTAAAACATCGTTATTAAGGTTAGGGTGTGGGGCAGTTGAGATTGGTTTAGAAGTAAGCACGGATAAGGTTAGTTTTCCATTACCTATTTATTGTAATAATTACAACTCAGGAAGTAGCGATGTTATATTTCAAAGACATTCAGTTGAATATATGAAGTTTGAAGGAACTAACAACAGAACTGCGTTTAGTAAAGACATTTATATGAATTCAGCAAATGGAGTTTTTACATCCCCCATTTCAAATAATTTATCTAATGATTTGAGTTTGTATGCTACACTGACTAACACTATGAGATTTTATGCTAATGCCGTTGAGAAGATGAATATAACATCAGCTTCAAATAATGTTAAATAAAATATGATTTTACAAGGCGGAGGGGGTGTTAGTGTCTATACTGATGATATTTTTGTTAATAACCTTGCAGCGAGGTCGGTTACTGCCGATGTGGCATTTATACATAATGGACTTACATATATGTATTATGATTATGATGTTGTAATATTCAAAATTCTTGAAGATTGCCAGTGTTTTAAAGACCTTGATGTTCAGGGCTTGTTTAATGGAAGTGATATAAAAATTAAAAAATAAGTTCAAGATGTTGAACATAATTGCTCAGATATTGTTAAGAATTTAGAATTAAAATCATTCATTTATAAAGACAGGGAAGAACATAAAAACGATGGTAAAAGACATATCGGGTTTATTGCAAACGAAGTCCAAGAAGTTTTACCAAAAGAATTTGAAACAATAGTGAAAGAAGGAAAAGAACATTTGAGTTTGAATTATGTTGAGATGAATACCATATTGTGGAAAGCACTACAAGAAACATTGGAAAGGGTAGATAAGTTAGAAGCAGAAGTAGCAGAGCTTAAACAACCTAAATCAAGAGCTAAGAAAAATACAACTGAAAAATACTATATATATAATAATATATTATGGGTAGTTCTCAAAGCAAAAAGAATGATTAAAATAATTATCTTGAAGAAATTGACAAAGTTAATATTGATGAACTTGATGAATAAATTTGATACTTTACAAATGAAAGCAATAAAACAATTGATAGAAAAAGTGAAAAATTAGAAGACAAGAACAGTGATAAGTTCATTTACAAACTGCCACCAATTCAAATTTGTAGTTATAGTTTAATTTAATTAAAACTACTATATTAAAATAATATTTTCAATTATTCATCTCTTGCTCATATGCTTGATGTTTTTTGTTTTAAAATGAACTGCTTTGTTGGATATTGTGTATGCTCCTCCACAATAACATTCTACTTTTTTTTGTTCTTCAAAAAACTCAGGTGGTCTTTTCAAATAATTTTGTCTATCTCGCTCTCTGTATTTTTCAGGATTGTTTCTTCTATCTTGTTTGTATTCTTCTGCGTGTTCATCCCAGTATCTCTTGTGTTGCTCCCTACACTTGTCAATATTATTGTAGTAATATTGAAGACTATTAGTTCGGTGTTCCTCACTTGTTGTCATTGGTTTTAACATTTTTAAACTGGGTTTCAATTCTTCAAACATTTCTCTTTCTTTTGCCCTTGCTTCTAAATGGTTGTTAAATCCAAATGTGTTAATCAAGACCATTTCCCAATTCTCCCAACCTCCATTTTCTCTAATACATTTATATACATTAAAATTATGCTTCGGATTTTCGGGATTACAGCACCTTGTTTTATGTTGATTTTTTCTTTCGATAAAGTCAGTCGTGTGTCCAATATACATATCTTTGACATTTAAATCCTTACAAACAATTTTGTAAAAATCTGTATTGCTATAGTCTATTGCTTTTTTTGGCATACTATCTTATAATATCTTATAAGTTCTTATATCTTTAAATATTATCAATTAAAATCTAACAAAAATTATCCCCATCCGAAAATATTTCGGATGAGGATGTCTTGAACCCCTTTTTTAATCAAAATCTACCATTATCTTTTATCAAAACAAATTTTAAACACCTCGTTTATATCACTTTCCATGAGATTTACAAATAAGAAGCTATATTTTTCTTCTGTTGCGTTGTCATATATTTCTAATAAAGTTTTCTTAGCATTGTGTATATTTTTGTCATCCATCAATAAATTCTTTTTGACTAACAAGGCTGAAAGTTCTTCTATCATTGTCTGAACTTCTTTGTAGTTTCTCATTTTAAAAAAGAACAGTTGCCTTGAATTTACCCTGATAATTGTTGATAATCCATTAAACTTTTGAGTGCTACTTATTATGTTGCATCCAAAATGTCTCCCTCTTATATACAAAGCATTGAGTAGAGAATTATGACGAGAGAATGACACACTATCAACAAAATCGTCTATAATGATTAGGACTGAAAACAATTGTTTGAAATCATGGTCTTTTTGATATTTAGTAATTTTATGTTGTAAGTCTAGAATGTATTCTAGGTCTTCCGGGTTGAAATCATCAAAATAAACTTTTTCCTTTTTGGTGTCTATCTTTAACTTTTTCTCTATGTAATCTTTTACCGGCAACCATACACTATCAACATTAATAGAACTTGAAAATATGAAGATACGACTGAAACAATCTCTGTATAAATCTAATATCATAGATTGAAGAAGGATAGTCTTTCCTGAGCCTGACGGCCCAACTACATTTTGTGAGAATGGAATTCTTGGAGCAACATCATATTTAGATTGTTTAAATTCATACTCCTTCATTTTAGCAGGTTTTACATATGGAATTAAATTATTATTCATTATAATTATTTAGAAATTAAATATATTATATAATATTGAGTGGAACTTCTAGGAACAGAGAACAGAAATGAAGAAGCATTCAATCCTCATAAGAAGTAATTAGTTTGTTGCCGGTCTTATGCCCCAAGAATTGTAGTGGAATTTCGCCAAAGAACAGAATTCAGTTTCTTTACCCCCCTCTGTGCTTGAATAAAATATAATTAGATATAAAACCTATCTAATTATATAGATGTACCACTATTTGAGAATATGGAGGAGATAGTTAATGATGATAATATTTATCCAGTAGTTATGAATAAGAAGTGTTGCTATTCTTTTCTAGAAGGTTTAAAGGTAATTATTTTATATTTTAAGAATTTCAATCGCTTTAATATAAATGCCACCCAAAAAAGCCAGTGAAAGGAAGTTTAAGAAAAAACCAGTGCCTGAAGACTTTGAATTAAGTGATGATGAACCAACAACTATAACATCAGATGAAGATAGGAAATTGACCAGCAAGTTCAAAACCTTTGATGGTCCCTTATGTTCTGGAAAGTTACAGTTGAGAAATGAAATTGAAAGCAATCCTAAAGGAATAAAATGCAAATGCAACCCTTGTAGTTTTAAAATTAGTAAGAATGATAAAACTGTAAATGTTAGTAGGGATGAGAACGGTGATATTACTTTAGATAGTGAAGACCATAGCATCAGCTTTAGGTGGAACCGCCAGATTACACCAGAAGACCAAAAGGCAGAAAGCACAAACAAAATGATAAGTGATGTGATGAACACTCCTAGAAACAATAACAAGAAACACAACTCACTAAATGATTTAGAATAATTACTTTAAAATGTATTACTAAAATTAAATAACTATTTTTAATTTTCTAATTTATTATATATCCTTATGGCACCCAAAGGAGTTGCAGAAATTGACTATGTGACTATAACATGCTAAGCAATATCTACGAGCATACAAAAAACAATAGTAAAATGTTGTCTGCAATATTGTCAAAACTGAATGAACTTTCAGAAGGTAAGGAAGTTGAAGATAAAGAAGAACAAAAGAAAACGGTTGAAGAAATTTTTGAGAAGAGGGGCATTGGCAAACCTAGAGGCACTTTTGAAGAGAAACAGCAGCAATATTTTAATCTGGTAAAAACAGGAAAGATAAAGAACCCTGTAGCAAAAACTTTAGAATACTATCATATTGCCAAAGATGAAAAAGGATAGTATTTTATTTCTTCTTTTGCCAAAATAGATTGAAAACAATATTATATATTGACAATATTGACATACTGCTTTTGACATGTTTTTTTTGAACGAACTTTTGTCAAAAACACCCCACACAGCCCCCACCACCTAAGAACCAGTAGCACCACGAACAGACAACCAACCCCGCACCCCAACCCAGCAGGGAGGAAGATGGGCGAGGACATCATAGTAGGTAAGTACAATCTAACATATTCTAAATATTTGTGATGTTCCGGAGGCACTGCCATGCAATTTCTACGCATTTTTTTGTACAGTTTCCGAAATCAACATCTCAAGATACTTTGGTTTTTTTCACTTTATGTGCGGTTCCTTCCAATAGCTCGTGGCAGGCTCTGGGGCTGACATCGTCCAAAGGTTGCAAGACATATTGGTTCAAAGTCCCACATAGTGTTTGTGGAAAGGCACGCGATGGCGCTACGACTTTGCCGCATGGCGAAGATGTGCTCGGGAGGTGTCATGACAGAGGCACGCCTGGACGTTCTACTTCTTAGTCCCCACCTGAGACCGCCAATTCAGCCAGCTTTACTTGCGTGAAACGACTGGCTTTTATGCTAGCCGAATTCGCCATTTCAAGGGAAAAAGCTGGCAAATACGCAGCTTGAAGGACGGACATGGCTGCTTCTTCATCGTGCCGGTCGTCGTCAATACTGGGGGCAGCGCTTACAATCGCCCCATCATCAGCGACGTCCTCCTCAAGCACTTCTTCCCGAAGTTTGACCGAGCCACTTGGGGTGAGAGCACCAAGGGCAAAATTCACCTCCCAACTCCCTTAGGAGACGATTTTAACCTTGGAGCGCAAGGATGGAATGATGAAAGGGAGAAGGACTGCTGTTTGCACGTTTTTCATGGCATGTGTCTGATGTTTTTTTGCTGGCTGGCATTTTTGAACTTGCATTTGGTCATTGCAGTTTTGTTTAGCCCCGCAGGAGCTGGACAACATGGCAAAGGAGCAAGCCATCATGTACAACTTGGTGGGGCACGAGCTGGCAGAGGTGATTGTCGAGTGTGATGGCTTGGCTAGAAATCTTCAGGGCATGAGGGAAGACAATAAGCACGAAGACTTCCTGCTTGACATCTACTACAATGAGACGGTGCAGCAGACAGCACGGGGCTTCAAGCATGTGGGCGCCACGGTGGATGGCATCAAACGTGAAGTGGATAGCATGATGCTTGACCCGATGACAGATTGGGGAGAGAGTTCCTTGCCGGTGCCTGCGCACTTGTGGAAATTCCCACCCAAATAGCCCAAAAGTGGCTGACGGGGCTGACCCGTACAGGCAACAGATGTTGCGACAGTGCATGTTTGTTGGAAAATGACCTTGAGATGAACAGGGACTACCCTTGCAAACACTGCGTAAATGTTCAAACGAAGCCGACATGATGCCCGACAATATACCACATAAATTATAACATATTTTTTTGGATGATGTAAAGTGGGCAAGGTTATGCTGTTTGAATTTTTTGAGGGTTGAGGGTTGTTGTGGCTTATGGGGTATTGTTTGTTGATTATTTGTTTATGTAATTTTTAGCGGGTAATATTTCAACAAGATTTATCTTGTTGAAATATTGGATGTTCTTTTTTGGGGTTTGAGCTTATGGTTGATTGTTATGATTATTGATTGTGATATTTTTGTTATGGGTTATGTTGATGATTTTGTTGATGTTTTTTTGAGGGGATGTGTGTATGTTTGGGGTTGTGAGGGTTCAGGGTTCAGGGTTGGAAGATGGGCAAGGCCCATTCTAACTATAACATATTCTATGTAATTATTATACAATCGAATACACAGTAAATAGATTTTAAGGAATTAACTATAGACTCGTAGAGTATAGTCATACCAAAAACGCAGTGAGGCCATTCCGAGCAAAGCGCTCAGATGCCTTACGAAAACATTTGCCTAACCGTATGTGGCTTAAGTCGTGTTAAAGCCACCCATCAACTCATTTCTGTCAGAACCAATAAGTGATGGCCTTCTCAAGGCTTCGAGGGGGGCAATATTCCAAAAAAGCAATTCACCGACAAAAGCGCGCCCCGAACGAACGTGTAACCTGCAGCTAGTTTTGCCAACCAAGGTTTTGTCGAACGTTGTTAGATGTTGTTAGTTGGGATACTGGTCACTTCATCCAGATGAGTGGGCCTACTGGAAGCTGAATGCACCTGGAGTACTGTCTCAGCTGAATGGACACGATATGACACGATGAACGAGCTTCAAATTGAATGCTTTAGCAAGTCTCGTCTTCGGTCAAACGGCTTGGGGCCAAGCAAACGATGCCCTTTTCGGCCACTTGTCGCCCAAAAGATCAGCCGAAAAATCGCCGAATGAGTTTCATAGCAAGCATGGATTCACAGGTTCTGTTGATCGATTGCCATCCCTTCTCCAACTTCCCGTGCGGGTGTCGCGGTGAGTGGGTGAGGTGTCGGTGTTGCCGGCATTCTGCGAACCGGTTCTCAGGTGGGCGCGCAGGGCATCACGGTCATGGCAATAGGCGCGGACGTCCGGTCAGACCGGTTCCGAAGAGGGTCTGTTGAAAAATGCTTGGGAGGGGAGGTGAATGTTAGGATCCCCAATCCGGATCTTTCAAGTCGATTCTGAGAGCAGTGACTGTTTTGCTCGGCGATTCGGCGGCCCCACTAGGCATCTTCAAAAGATTGTATATAAGACCACCTGATTCTGAGTTGGCAATCTTTTCCTCAGTTGATTCCTCTGTGACTTTGGTCAAGATGTCATAAGATCTCCACATTCATCTCTTTTTGAGTAGAGGCATTTCATCATCTCAACGTCAGGCAGACATGTATCATTGAAGCATATTGAAGCCTTTCTCACGTCAGAAAGACTCTAGAGAGCTGGATGGGCTCAATATACCTCCGAGATCGCTCGGGGTCGCTGCCTCCTGCCTCGTGAGATGAGTCGTGCCCGGGGGTCGCCGATGGCCAGGCCCCCAGGGTCAGAGGAAATGGACCAGGCCTGGTCACCGTGTCGCCGGTTTTGCCGGGGACGAAGCTTGATTCCTGGGTGTTGTGGTCCAGGTGTTTGAAGTGAATTTCTGTTGGCTCTGATTTGGGATCCGAGGATATCCGAGGCGTCAGGAAGGGAGAGTCCCCCCCGAAAAAATCAGAAATTTAAGAAAACCACTTGGAGTAGGCCATCTCTGCTGGTTTTGCCAAATTAAATAAACGCAAAAATACATGAAAAAGCAACAGCAAAAAAAACAAATCCAAAAAGCAACAAAAAAGCAAATGAAAAAACAAAAGCAAAAAAAAACAAATCCAAAAAACAAAAACCAGCAAATGAAAAAGCAAAAACAAAAAGAAAACGCGCGCCGGAAAGGCACCAAAACGAAAAAGCAAAAACAGAAAGGACGCCTACCAAAAAAAGCGAAAAACCGCGAAAAAAAAAACACCCCACCGAAAGAAGCGAGAAACACAGCGAGAAAAAGGGACGCCCACCAAAAGAAGCAACGGAGCCCAGCCACCAGGGAACTGCGGTAAGCTGTGCCGAGGCTAGGCCCATTGTTATTGTTTTTTGTTTTTGTTTTTTCATTTGTTTTTTTTGCTTTTGGATTTGCATTTTTTGCTTTTGTTGCTTTTTGGATTTGCATTTTTTTGCTTTTGCTTTTTGTTGTAGTTGCTTTTTTTCTTTCTTTTTGCATTACTGCATCCTCTTATTTTCAAGGTTCACAGAGTTAGCCTGGGTCCGGCAATGTTAATCACAGACAGTCCACAAACTCAGTCACCCATTCAGGATCCATCTAGCATACAACCTTCACTCTCCACTCATTTGTGGAGGCAATTCCTTTCATTGTGTCGAGTCACTGGCGTGTAGCTTGCTAACCCTAGCTATCCTCCTAGTCACTGGCGTGCGCTTCGACCAGGACGCCCGAGCCGCCCGGGCCCTCGACGGTCGGATCGACGCACCGAGGATCGGCCGGATCGCCCTGCGGGACCTGCGGAACGCTGGGGAACCGAACGCGGAACCGAACCCAACCATCTTCAAGCGTCCTTCAACCGGTGAACACTTCAAGCACCGCACCAAGCAACCGAGAGGATTGAAGGGGGCCCTGTTGTTCAAGGGGTCTCTCAAGGTCCTCTGTGGGACAGGAGGGGAGTCGAGCACGCCCTCGCGCAGGTGATTGACATGAGCCACGCCCTTGTGCGTCCGCCCTCGTCTACGGCGCCGTGAATTTCGCGGCGGTCGGGTGCGTGAATTTCGAGGCGACGGGGGTGTAAACAGAAGCTGGAGACCTGCCCAGGTGATGTAGTATTTTTTTCCATTTCATGCAGCATGATGCCAAGGGGACCTCATCAATCAAGCCTTTCATGTCATCATGTCCAGTCTTGCAACACAATTACAACACTCATGTCTGACCCTGCACGACGAAACTCAGGAAGTCTCTTAAGTATTCTTAAGTAACACACACACACACGATCAGCTGGGAAGGGTGATCAGCTTGGACGATCTTTTCAGCTGCCTTTCAATGCGCGGCGAGAAACCCACGGTGGTCCGATGGATCCGTCGATCCAGTTGTCGGCGATCGACACAGACACAAGGGTCCATGGTTGCTAAACGTGTCTCAGCGTGGATCGAGTTCTCTTGTTTGTTGTTTTATGATCCCTCACTGGTGGAAAGTCGTTGAATCATTTTGACGCTTTCTTTCGGCGACCAGAACCCGTTTACTCTTCGAAATCGAAAAAGGTTTGCGGAATCCGTCGCGGACAAAAGGCCGAAAAGGCTTCGGGCCATCCGTCGCGCCGCTCAAGTTGTGCCTTTTCCAGGGAGGAGCCACAAATAACTATATATACCAGCCTTTTCTGGTGTTCTGAGTCTTCATCAACTCTAATCTCTAGGTGAGTCAAATGAGGCTTGGGCCAGATGAACACACGATATATACAGCAAGTCACGAAAGCCCAAAGACGTGTTCAGATGTCAAGCCCAAAGACCCTTTGGCTCAATATCCATAGCCAAGATCGGAGCCGCGGACCCGCGGCTCCATGAGAATCCAGGCGCGGGGATGCACCGTCGGCGGAACACCGGCCGTATCGGAAGAAGGCACCGTCACAGTCGGAGGATCTCCAAGAGAGTCATATCGGTGGTTGCTGATCAAGGACCCAAGATTATCCAAGTGATCTCTAAAAGAATTATTATCACTTAGATTCACTTAGTGATCAAGGACCCAAGATTATCCAAGTGATCTCTAAAAGAATTAT